GGAACAGGCCGCGAAGGCCATGGCCCAGCCTGGCAGCCACTGCAGGAGAGGAGATACCGCACACAGACCACAGCCAGTGTTCAAATAGGTTTCTAGCATCATAATACAATTATGCGATAGAAAAAAATAAGTCATTTCTTCCATAATTAGCACAAGTTCAAAGTAGAGCACACAAAGCTAAGATAAGTTTTTCCTCGATACTCCATTTTTACCTCAGCATTTTCAAAAATTGGTCTCAGGATCCCCATAGGACAGGTCAGACAGCACCTGCCACGGGCACCCAGCGATAGACAGCAAACACCCGCTCACGTTACTCGGTATTTGCAAAGTCTGCAGCTCTTCTGGGCAGCACTCGTGTCTCCTCCCACAGCCTTTGCAGCACCAGACGCACCACCACACACACCAGCCAGTGTGCCTTTTTAAAATACCCCATTTTCTTGCAGACCAGTCCCTTACCTCCAACAGATCAACAGTCCACATTTTGAGACCATGTTACACAGCTCAGAAATAGAAGACCATAGAACAATTCGTGTAACGCTTCTCTATTGCTACCTGACACAGCATTAAACCATGGAAGGGGGCGGCTCCAGGCCTTTTACAGCATGACTTAAATCACTGTCAACAAACCAAGAGACTAAATGAGACAACATCAAAAATCGGCAGATGGGCTGGAAAAATGCACAGATCTTTTTATTTAAATAACAAGGACTTAAAAATTCTGAGTTTTAATACAAGTTAAATAAAATACAGTGTAAATATCAGCTTTCGTATTTTTGCTTGTTTACACACAGCTTATTTAGAAATTTGATATATTTTACAGCTTAAAGAGCGAAACCTGATTCAAACTGCCTGATCTGTGCCTTCAAAGCAATAGATTGTATAAAATACTATGATATCCAAAAAAGCCAGTATACTGTACAAAAAAGTTTTTTTTACAGTATTTTGATAAAAAAATCAGATTAGCTGCATCTGAAATTCATGATAAATTGTCTTCTCTCAAGAGGAACTGATGGATAAACTGCTGAGCTTTCCTCTTTTCAGTTATATCAGGTGTAGGATGTCCAGGAGGAGGTCGAAGTAACAAGCCACCGAATATACTAGCTGCATTAAAAAAAAAAAAAAAAAAAAGCCAGACAGACACACAGTAAGAGCCCATCAGCAGCAGGATATCAAGAGTAATCCCACCAACCCCAATCAGCCAAAGTGAGCGAGTGCCTGGCTTCAGAATGGGGTAAAATAAAGCTGATGACCCATGCATCTCCAAATCACTTTACAACTTTTTTCAGGCTACTGCAATGACTGTTTTTCAATGGACTGTTTGCTCATTATTACGTGCTTCAAAACAGTAGAGGCCATGACTGCACTCACTTTGGAGAAATGTGTTTTGTTATACAAACTGCAAAGCCCCTCTGTACAGAATGGTTATTTTGCTTGCCTTACCAAGAATATTCACATCCAAATGGTTTTTCCCTGAATTTTTCAGTAGTTCTCGTAGAAATGCCATTAAATATTCAAATACATTTTTATGGCACCCTGGCAGGTTAGAGATAATCTGAGGAGGGGAAAAAAACAACAACATTTATACTGAAGAGATGGCAATGGCTTAGCAGCTTTATCTACTACCAACATCACCCTGTCTGCAAATACTAACAGCTCTTAATAACCGTGAAGCACCAGTTCCAGATCCTTTCTATTATCAGGTGATTAAGTTTCTGAGAGCAAAAACCTGTTACTGGTCTGGCATAAAACAATTTGCCTCTCCTCCCTCTGGAATTACAGAAACAGTCTCACAGCGAAGCTGGCGATACCTGGCTGCTCAGCAGGTAGTTGCTGGCACTCTCCAAACAGCTGCTGTAGAATCTGTAGCAGATGACAGGCTCCGGCAGGCTTTCCAGGAAGAGCAGCAGGGCTTCTGCTACAGAGTGGTTGCTGCCAACTGATCCAAAGACGGTTAAGGAAGAGGGAAGCACAGTGTGATCTATTTTGGTTGTATTTCTGCTGAAACATTAATCTTTGCTTAGGTCTCCAAGAACTCCTCCTATTGTTCACACCTTTGAGTTAAATCAGTTGACTTCACATAGCAAGCTGCTTCTACTGGCAGTCAGACATTTATGTAATTCATCAACAACCATTCACATCGCAAGGACTTAGCAGAGGCATTCATACTGATCGCAAGGAGTAGCAAGGAACTGCAGATCTCTGTTACCCCGAGATGGAAGACAGTAATTTAAAAACTATGGTGGAGCGTAGAAGACTGATAAAATCTTTTTCAGCTTTGATCACTAGGGCATAGCGAGCCTTAGTGGACATCACTCTGAAAGGATACAGAGGGTATCGTGCATTCCTTTGTCCAGACAATCCCGGATTTGCTCAAATTCAGATCTGAGGCCTGGCTGCTGAAACAGGTCCTCCTGCAAAGCAGACCATTAGGCAGTCTCAAGAAAAATAAAAGTTATTTTGGTAAATAGAGCAATGTTATTGTAGTCTGGATGGAAAAATCTCTCCAAATTGGTAGTTATCAGCACAAATCCCACCGCGAGCAGCTCTAATAAGGCTGTCGCACTGCAGTAGAGAGCAACAGAGAAGGACAGCTGCTGATGCATGCCACACAGAGTCAAGGTCACCATCACAAAACAGTGCAACCCGGGGTACCAAGATCACTTATCACAGATGTCCTTTATCTCTCTTTACCATTGGCAAAACATCCACAGTTAGCAATGATTGCCGCTACTAGTATCTTCTTCAAAACTAAACCTAACACAAACAAATTATTTTCTGTTTCCAGTACAAACACTGCCAACCTGCTGGGAAGCATTGCGGTACAAGTGATCCACCATCATCCACAGCTCTTTTGGAATGTCCATAGGCTTTTCAGCTTGAACAACTTCATCACACATTTCTACTGGCATGAGGGTCTGAGAGAGGGAAGTGTGGGGAGGGGACAAAAGAAAAAAAAAAAACACCAAATGGTAGCTAGTGAAGTTCTTATTCAACTCTGCAAAAATATCTCACAGAGCTTCTTGTTAAGAAACTGTGCAGCATCACTCACCAGTCTTAATACAAGGCTAGTACAACAGGCACATTTATATCCAAAGTCCAGACAGAAGAAACAAGCTGCTCTCAAACATGCTTCACATACATCTGGCTCTATGAAACATTACATCAAGGCTCACATATACACACACATCTCCATTCAATGCAGAGAAAACCAAAGGATCCAGGGAAAAGGTCTACGTTTAAAAGTCGCACACCTTTTTTAAAAGTGCAGGCAGAGCAAATGGGATCTTACTTTCAGTGCTCTCTATAAGAAAAGGGTTGGTTCATCCATGTGAAGGACTAATGCAAGGTGTAAAGATGGTGCACTGGAGAGCACAAGCTGTATCAGCATTCTCAGACTACGGACCAGGGAAGTGGAAGAAGGCTCTTTAGCAATAAACAGGACTTAACATCTAGTTTTAATGGCTCTTGTGGGTTCGGAAGGGAATCTTGTCTTTAACTCACAAGTTTCTGAATGGATTCTACTGACATGTCCTGGATCGGTTCCCTCATGTAACACAGTGTATGAAGGGGAGACCCAAAGCAACTTGGCAAGTAGTTGCCTGTTACAGATAGAAAATAGTCCTTCCCCCTGTTAAGATGCAAGACCAAGATATCTTCAAGTTTCTCCTCTCCAGAGTTTAAGTGTGTAGCTGTTGATTTATTAACAAACACTTCCAACTCAATTGTGATCTCAGCGTCTGCCGAAAGATGATAAAAAAACATACTCAGTTAAAAAAAGGTATTAAACCAATAAGCCTGCAAATAGGCATAGCATTCTCAAAATAGCAGAGAGAACTACACCAAAAGGTGACAATTTTAGCTCATTAACATGAGATGAACAGCAAGGAGCTCACCTGATAGCAGAAAGCCCTTACTGGGATTAGCAATCAGCCACTCCTTGCAGTAGGTTTCCTCATCTGGTTTGCTGATAAATTCGAACTGGCAGGGCACTGGTCCGTTGCGGATTGTAAACTTTTCTATCTGCAGCTGCATGTATTTAACATCCTCAAAATGGAACTAGAAACAAATGTCAGTCAACATCATCAGCCAACTGCACCTTGCCAAGCACCAGCAGCAACTTCTATCCTGCGGTTTAATCATTAAGCAGCAAGATACCCAGATTAACCTTCTTGCTCCCACACCCCATCTCTTCCAGAATTACATAGGATTACATTTGCTTACTCTGTATGCTAAAGTCATTTGCATCAGTGGGCCCTTTGAAACAAATGCTCCCCTCAAATAACCTCAATGAAACTTGAGAACAAGACAACTGTAGCCTCAAATGTCTCATTTGCTTATCATTTTTAGTCCCAACACACAAAGCAAATCCTGGATTTGTGACCTTCCCCAAATCCTTCAGATTTTACATTTTGTATTTCAAAGAAGTTAGAGCAAGGACCAAAACAACCCTTTTATTCTCTCTCTCCCCACCTCAGGGAGTAACACGCTCTACATTTCAGCCCGGTACTGTGAATGGAATTTACCCGCATCTAAACAGAAACAAATATTTCTAAAGCTTGTAAACAGAGAAGAGCTGGAAGTCAAAATATTCTACTTCGTTGGAACCAGACCCCGGGGTCTAGAATCCTTCTAATGTACCTCTACCACTGGAATACACTTCTGGGGTCTAGGGCTGCTAGTCACAGCACTTGAGCATACCCTACCTCTCTCTGGGAGAGGGTCACTGAGGGAATGTTGGCATTCTCCAGCTTATCCAGGGAGCGGACTATTTCCTCAAAGGCTTTTCGGTAGAGCTCCTCATTCACAACCTTCACCTGAAAAGGACACACACTGCACCAACTGGCATTTACTATGCCTCTGCAGGAGAGCTGTAACACAGCTGGAAACACATGAAGTCATTTGATTTTAGCAGCACACTAGCATATACAACACATGTAATGAACACAGCCACTTGGAGCACTAATGCTCCGAGATCTCCTCAGGATCCAATGGTAAAGGACCTTGCCATAACTAACGAGAGCCACCTGGGCAGTACTACACCAACTTTTTTTTTTTTCCTTAAAAAAGAAGTTTGACAACAGTTTGACAACACACTACTGTGCTGTCAATGACGTAGCATTGCTGCACTGCGAGTTTTTGTGAAAATTATTACGAAAGTAAGAAAAAGGCCAACGAACACTTCTGAAAACACAACTACAGTTATTCATGCATTATTCTGCTTAACTGAAGTATCTCTTAACACAACCCCAGCTTACTATGAATAACAATCCTATCTCAGTATCTTATCTAGCCATTGTTCTCTATGAATGCCATAAAAGCAGGAGGAGAGGGAAATCAGCAGGAGAACCTCCCTCCTCCTTCCCCCTCTTCCCACAGAGAGGACGAGGTCAGCAGAGTTATTTCCATCAGCACTGACGTACTTACCCCAATATCAAACACAGAGCTAACTGGCTTATGATCACTGATCTTCAAAGCCATATGGCTGCGATAGCTCAGCTGAGCAATGTTCTGCCCTTTCCAGAGTATCCGATCACACCATGCTGGAACACGACACTTCTCACTAAAACAGAGGTAAAAACTAGTTTCCAGGCACAGTTCAGGTACAGTGCAAGGCAGAATATTGCTCTCCCAAAAACTCTGTTTTCCTGACGTTGCCTGGAACTAGTTCACTATTAAAGTTGTATTTTCCACAGTTTCTTTGAGTGGTTATAAAAAGGTTGATTGTCTACTATTAGGTATCTCTAGATCACACTTTAATTTCTACTTCTTCAAAGATGCAATTATTTGTTCTGTTCTTTTGATACAATTAACATACAAAGCAATACTCAGGGATACTGTTGATCATAAGAACCATGAGAAATAAGAACTCAGGCTCTAGATTTAAGGTTCACATTTTATTTTTTTTTCACCAGCTGCCACACAGATTTCATTCCTGCACTTGAAGCCAATGTTCCCAGTTTACTAAGAACAGGTCAGACACTCTGTGTAGTGCATTACAGGAATGATGGTTCTCACAGTCTTTTGGAGAATGCACTCAGCTACAGACAGCACAAATGCACCTTTTCGAACCCTAGCTGGTCTGACCTGAGTAGGT